TCTTCAATTTCATTGGACTTATCAAGTCTCACTTCATCAGGATCTCTGGATCACTCTGGTGACAGTTCTTTAGCCTCCTTAGACCTCTCAAGTCTCACCTCTTCACCCTCCCCAGATTTCTCTAGTCCTGCTTCTTCACACTCTCTAGACCTCTCCAGTGTCAGTTCTTCATCCTCCCCAGATATTTCCAGTCACAACTCCTCAGCTTCCTTGGACTCCTATACAGTCCCTCCACCCTCACTAGGTGTCTCAGAGCACAGCTCTTCAAGCTCTTCAGACTCACTAGATCTCACCAATTTTAACTATTTCATGTTTCAAGGCTCCTCTGAATTATCTTCATCAACCTCTGAGGATGTTTCTAATCTCATTCCTACACCCTTTCTGGATGTTTCCAATCTCACCTTTCAGGATGCTTCTTCCCTCACTTCATCAGTTTCTTTGGACATTTCTAATCTCACATCTTTAGTTCCCCCAGACCTATCCACTCCCACATTTCTGGATGTTGCTAATCGTACCGCTTCGACTTCTCTTAATCTCTGCATCTAACCCTCTTGACATGTCCCTTCTCCCTGTATCTTTCTAAACTTACCTCCGTTATGTGCTCTTTCCTAAATTCTGTCTCTCAAAGTTCTTATCTGAGGAAAATTTAGGGTTTTACAAAGATATCCTCACATCTAAACAGAACTGGGCATGAAAACAGATCATACAGATCTACAATGGTGCCTTGTTCACAGCTGCATAAACATCAAAATGAATTCTGGAATTTTTGTAGAGCACGATTTCTGTCACTAATTTCATTTCTATTCTGTCTCACCATGGTACCTCTCCCAGAGGTTTAATGTTTTTAATTCATGCTGAATAGCAGCCTTCCAGTATCTGAAGGGGGGCTATAGGGATGCTGGGAATGGACTATTCATTAGGGACTGTAGTGATAGGACAAGGGGTAACGGGTTAAAACTTAGATAGGGGAAGTTTAGATTGGATGTAAGGAAGAAATCCTTTACTGTTAGGGTGGTGAGGCAGTGGAATGGGTTGCCCAGGGAGGTTGTGAATGCTCCATCCCTGGTGGTGTTCAAGGACAGGTTGGACAGAGCCTTGGGTGACATGGTTTAGTGTGAGGTGTCCCTGCCCATGGCAGGGGGGTTGGAACTGGATGATCTTAAGGTCCTTTCCAACCTTAACTATTCTACGATTCTATGAATTTTTATCTGTCAAGACCACGAAATAGCGAATAGAGCTACATGTGCGAACAGTTACATCCAACTTGTATGTCTCCCATTACGGATTTAAACCTGAGAACATTGCACAGAATCGCAGGCAGAGGCATTTCACATGGAGGTACAGAGAGAGATGTGTTGGGAAAAGAAAACGGGGGGAAAAGAGCAGGTAAGAGAAGGAGTAGGGAGAGGAACCAAAGAAGGTGTGGGGCAGGAACAGAGGAACACATAGGTGGAAAAAGGTGTCCAACTCTGCTAGCGTAACTTTTCTGTCAAGGTTTATTTGTGGCCTGGGCTGCCCATGAGGCTTAAAATAATCTTACTGATAACTATTTTACCTATCAAAACACTGGACATTAGCATTAAAATAGTGTATGTCTCTAACATGCACTTTATCAATAAATGAAAGTACTGCAGTTATTTGTGTTGTATGCAATGTGGAGCACTGTGATGAGTGGTGTTCCTCAGGAGTCGGTATTGCAACTGGTGCTCTGCCACCCACAAGGAACTTGACAGGCTTGTGAGGTGGGGACCTTATGAAGTTCAGCAAGGTCAAGTGCAAGGTCCTGCACCTGGGTTGGGACAATCCCCCAAGCACAAAGACAGTCTGGGTGGAGAACTGATTCAGAGCAGGAGGACTTGGGGGTACTGGTTGATGAGAAGCTCCCCATGACCTGTCAGTGTGTGCTTGCAGCCCAGAATCCCTCCATGTGCTGGGCTGCATCCCCAGAGGGTGAGCAGCCAGCCAACAGCTGCTGTGCTCTGGAGAGATGCTCCCTGCAGTCCTGATCCATCTCTGGGGCAGCAGCACAAGAGGGATGTGGAGCTGTTGGAGCGAGGCCAGAGGAGGCCACGGAGATGCTGCGAGGGCTGGAGCATTTCAGGTGTATGCACAAAAAATCCCATGCGAAGGCATCGTGTCTGACAGGACAAACTTCTGAACATAGCACAGGTTGGCCACACACAGACCAGAGCTCCCAACTGAAGAGTCTGTTTATAACTCACTGTCTCCACATGCTTGCAAAACTTTTTCTTCTTTAGTCTTATTTAGGAAAAGCTAAGACCTTATGACACAGAGGGGTAATAACTTTCTTAGCTGGAAAAAATACACACTTTTAACCACTTGCTTGGATTCTTAGAACAGGGCTACTCAGGAATGAGTTAATATGTAACATAAGTGCTATGTAACTACCCATCAGCCTCACTGAGGAGCCGGGTTCTAATTTCTGCTCTCCAGTGAACTAATGTGTGCTGTGTTCCTGGCGAATTACCTGCTCTGAATCACGAAGGCCTCACACACCCGCACGGTTTTGGACGGCACGACCCAGCTGACCACGTTTGAAAGCCAAGCTGAGACCTTCCCCAGCCGGGAAGGGCCCAAACCTTTCCCAAACGGTTTGTACCGGAGAAAACCCGCCCGTGCCGGGCAGCACTGACCGCTCCCCCGGCACACGGACAACGTCCCCGGCGGGCGGCGGGGGGAGACAGGCAGCGGCCGGGGCGGCTCAGAAGGAAGAGCGGGGAGTCATGGTTCAGCCTTCTGATTGGTCGCTGCCGGAGGAGAGCGTTTCTGACTGGAGAAGCGACTGAGTAGATGCGGTTGGTCAGATTCCCTGAGGTAACTCGGATTCCGATTGGTGAAAGGATCACTTCTGGTTGTTGATTGGCTAGAGAGCAGCGCTGCGGCCTTTCCTCTTCCGGCGGGCGCTGACCTTGCCCGGGAGCGGAGCGGGGCGGGCGGGTTGCGGTGTGTGTGAGCGGCCGCCGGCAGCGATGGTGGCGTACTGGCGGCAGGCCGGGCTCAGGTACTCGCCCCGCGGCAGCCGGGCTTCTCTCATGACTTCTTTCCTCCCGGGGTGGGGTTTGGTTCTCACCGTCGTTTTCTGTCCCCTTTTCTCTCCTGTTTTAGTTACATCCGGTTTTCCCAGATCTGCGCCCAAGTTGTGAGAGCGGCGATGAAGCCTCAGTACAAAGCGGAGGCAGAGAGGGCGGCAGTGGCCACGGTGAAAACCGTGAAGCCCAAGAAGGAGTAAGCTGTAAGTCAGGTGAGCGGGCCGGGTGCTGCGCTGCAGCTCCTGTGCAGGTGTCCCAGTGTGGGCTGCGGTCATGGCGGTAACTGCGGTAACATGCTGTATGTGGAAGATCAGCGCTGATCTCCGTGCAGACTGCTGGCTGGCTTAGCACTAACGTGTGCGGGTGCATGCAGCCAGACTGTGTATTGGAGAGGAAACTGCTTCGTCTCATTAGTTCAATAGAGTGATGTTCTATTCACCAGCATCTGCTTTGAACGACTTTGGTCTGCTCAGAGTTGTTAGGGAATTAGCACAGAACTGCTGGGTTTCTATAGTAACACTCAGAGGTTTCCTGTCTCTTTGCTAAGGCAACAGCCAGCCTCCCTGAACTGCTGCTTCTTCCAACCAGCAGATTTATCTGTATAAGGGTTATCTACTGCATGTGAAAGATAGCTGCTTTACCTTTATTTGTGACACTGCATACATCATAAGCAGCTGAAATCTCTTACAGCTTCTATTATTCTTGGTCTGAGATTAAACATTACTGCCTTTTGTTTGAATCATACCTTGTGCGTCTGCTTGAATGTAGTAACTTGTATTTTAAATCTCTCATAGGAACTGATGTGTGGTGAATACTCCAGCACCAAATGGCAAAGCTGTGGACAAGCTCAAGTCTCTGCAATATAATGTCATCACATTAATTGTAAAACTTGCCTCTATATACACATCAGCATGCTAATAAATGTAATGTCTGTTAAACAAATGCATGTGTGGGAAGTGGTGCTCCTCTTAAAACTAAGTGGTCCATTTTGCAGAGACATTCATCTTTCACTTGTGTTCAAATAATGTTTGTATCACAGTCTGCTGTTTAGTAGCAACATGTGTTTAAGGCACATCTCTTGCTGGATTTCAGGGCAATATTTCAAGTACACATATAAGAGATTTAATCCTTGTTTAGAACGTTTCTGCCTACTTGAATGATTATAACTTCAGAAAAAAGTGTTCTTTGCTAAAACCTATGTCAACAGGGAATATAGGCATATAATTTCAATAATTAGAAATACCTCTGCTGGTTCCTGCTGGAAGTGCTGTGTACTTGGCTTTAAAATTCTCTGTCATCGTGGTGTTCAAATTTCACTTGTGCTTAGAACAACACAAACTTGGTGAAAATCAGTTTGGTGCAGCTAAAGGTTATGGCTAAACCCTCAGCATAAGAAGGATGTGGAGCTGCTGGAAGAAGTCCAGAGAAAGCCATGGAGATGCTGCGAGGGCTGGAGCAGCTCTGCTCTGGAGCCAGGCTGAGAGAGCTGGGCTGGGTCAGCCGGGAGAAGAGAAGGCTCCTTAAGGGGAGACCTCAGAGCAGCTCCAGTGCCTAAAGGGGCTCCAGGAAACCTGGAGAGGGGCTTTGGACAAGGGCCTGTAGGGACAGGACAAGGGGGAACAGCTTTAAACTGACGGAAGACTTGGATTACACATAAAGCAGAAGAAGCTCTTCCCTGTGAGGGTGCTGAGGCGCTGGCACAGGGTGCCCAGAAAAGCTGTGGCTGCCCCATCCCTGGCAGTGTTCAAGGCCAGGTTGGATGGGGCTTAGACCAACCTGCTCTAGGGGAAGGTGCCCCTGCCCGTGGGACTGCTGTTGTCTCAAACAGGAGGAAAGACGTTCTTAACAGTATAATAAACTCTAAGAGTATAAAAAAACACCCAATTCAATTTCCTCATGCTACAAGAATAAGCTGATTTTTGTCTATGAAATGTTTCAAGTATTAATGTATTTTATGGAATAATATATAATTTTTATTTTAAAGAATATTATAAATACATTGTAAAGTAAATGGCTGTGAATGGCAAGAAACTTTTTCTCTGAAGTTAAGATATGCATTTGATTCAGTGATTGCTGTTGAACTTAGACCTAACTAGCTGCAAACCATTCTTTCCACTTTGTAGTACTGATGATAGGAAGAAAATTCACAGTAGTTTAGTTAATACATGAGAAAAAAACCAAACCAGACCAAGACATTTACACAGTGTCCTTAACACTGTATGCTAATAATTAATAAATCTATAGTTTGAAATAGAAACAAACCACACAAGGATAATGGATACAAGCTCTGCAATAATATAAGCAAGCCAGCAATGTGATAGAACTATTAAAGTACTTTTAAAAAAGTGAGACTATGCATAATCAGTTTTTTGCCCTGTGTTGTTTCCTCTCTTCTCCTGCAACTTAAGGAACTGCACTTTTCTGCAGAGCTACATCAGTCTGTGGAGTGTGTGTAACAAAAGAGGCAATGCTGCCTTTGCAGGCCATACAGGTGTGTGCATGGTCCTGAAACAGTAGCAAGGTCACAAACAAAACAGGGACTGTTTACCTAAGAATAAATACATTTGATGAGTTGGTAGCATATTTTGCTGTTGCTTATGATCCTGGTATATATTTATACACAGGCACAGAGGCTGTATATTACATTCAGTATCAGGCAATAATCTTCAAAAGGTGAATACATTCACTAGAAAGGCTGTTAGGAGACAACTTGTCTTAGCAGTGGATCTTTTTTGAGAGCAAGTCAGTGTCAACAGGACACTCTCACAGGAGATTGAAGCACAGCTGCCCTTAATTTCAAAAGCACTGTATTGTAATATTGGATATATTTTGGCCAGATGCAGAGAATTCTTCAGAAAGGTGTTATTTTTGGGCTGCAGGTGATAGTTACTCCTTTTTTTTTTTAGTGAGTGTCAACAGGCTTATTTGGAGACTGTTTTGATACTGCCATTGTTTTTACTGTGCTTCCTTTTCGGGGCTGGCTTCTGCTTCTACCTCTTCATATTCCTCAACATCTGCAGTGGCATCCTGGTACTGTTGGTACTCGGACACAAGGTCATTGGTATTACCTTCTGCTTCTGAAAACTCCATCTCATCCATGCCTTCACCTGTGTACCAATGGAGAAATGCTTTTCTTCTGAACATAGCCGAGAACTGTTCTGAAACCCTGATGAAGAGCTCCTGAATGGCTGTGTTATTGCCAATAAAGGTAGCCGCCATCTTCAGGCCTCGTGGTGGTATGTCACACACAGCCACTTTGACATTATTAGGGATCCACTCCACAAAGTAGGAACTATTCTTGGTCTGGACAGCCAACAACTGCTCATCCACTTCCTTGGTAGACATTCGGCCTCTGAAGATGCATGCCACTGTCAAGTAACGTCCACGACGAGGGTCGCAGGCTGCCATCATGTTACGTGCATCAAACATTTGTTGCGTAAGCTCTGGCACTGAGAGGGCTCGGTACTGTTGGCTGCCTCGAGCTGTCAGTGGAGCAAAGCCTGGCATAAAGAAATGCAGTCGAGGAAAGGGCACCATGTTAACAGCCAGCTTCCTCAGATCTGCATTCAGCTGACCGGGAAAACGGAGTGAAGTTGTGACACCACTCATTGTTAGGGACACTAAGTGGTTGAGGTCACCGTAGGTGGGATTGGTGAGCTTTAAAGTTCTAAAACATATATCATATAGAGCTTCATTGTCAATGCAAAAGGTTTCATCTGTATTCTCGATTAGTTGGTGGATGGAGAGGATGGCATTATATGGCTCTACGACTGTGTCGGATACTTTGGGTGAAGGAACAACGCTGAAAGTGTTCATAATCCTGTCAGGATATTCTTCTCTGATTTTGTTGATGAGGAGCGTGCCCATACCTGAGCCTGTGCCACCACCAAGTGAATGGATGAGCTGGAATCCCTGAAGGCAATCACAGCTCTCACACTCATTCCTGACCACATCCATGACATTTTCAATCAGTTCAGCGCCTTCTGTGTAGTGGCCCTTAGCCCAGTTGTTCCCAGCACCTGAATTACCTGTGAACAGAAAGAACAGCCACAAAGTTGGGAGTTAAAAGGCCATTCTGGGACAGCTGACTCCAGTTACTTTGCTGACAGCAGGCTGTACATACCATGAATAAAATTGTCAGGTCGAAAGAGTGGGCCTATTTTGCTGGACCGTACACTGTCCATCGTACCAGGTTCCAGGTCCACCAAGATAGAACGGGGCACATATTTATGGGCTAGGACAAAAGTAAACGAATGTGAACAATTACTGTTAAAAGCCAAAGAGACAAGCTTATGACCTGCTTTGAAAACTCCAATCCCCCTACAGTGATTTGGGGATGTATCTTTTAATTACTTATTTTAACCTCCATGTTGGCTCTGCAAATTGCTCTGCCAGCACCCAGTGCCGAGCACTTACAGTAAGCCTCATTGAAGTAGACGTTAATTCGCTCAAGCTGCAGTGATGCACCCCCATAGTAGTTTCCAGCGATGTCAATCCCATGTTCATCACTTATCACCTCCCAGAACTGAAAAAGGAAACAGGTTCAACACATTTACAAAGATTTACTCTTTCTTCAGCACAACATGCTCAGCACCAGATCTACTGTGCTCATGCCCGACTGCACACACAGTGAGAATTTTGCCTGAAATGGGGCATGTTTTGCCATTTACTCATTAGATCAGAGTGGGGATCCTCATCTCCCCCCTCCACAAATAAATTCAAGGCAACAGTTTAGTATGCTGCTTAGCTATTACCCATGTACTAATAGGTGGAGGCCCTCAGTTTTGTCCCTTTATAGTAAAGGAAAATTGGTATTAGTTTAAATAACACAGGTACTAGTCGGTATAAGCTTAACATAAAAGCTGCGACGGTGGACTGGGGAGATGCACAAGTGTCACGGCAAAGCTGGCTCAGCCAAATTTGTGTGCTAGCAATGCTTTCCACAAACAGATGTTGGTCCTGAGTGTCCTATCTTGACATTCACCTGGATGTCTTGTACTTGGGCTCTTATCTAGGCGGCAGCCGCAGCAGTGTTAATGTGACACACCCACCCACTTATAATGACCAGGCTGGTTTAATGTTAAAGGTCTCCTGGGTTAGCATCCAGTCTTGGTTTGGGTGTACAAATACACTCCTGCCAGCACATGTATGCTGTAGTGGTGTGTGCATGTGTACTTTTCTTATAGGTGTTATTACACATAAGTGATTCCCAGGTCAAAGCCAACACTACCACACTGGCTGCATTCTAACTGTCTCGGTCTAACATGACATTCCCTGGCCATCCACAGCTTTATGCTCCAATAAAAGGAATTAAGGTGAGATTTGTGGGAGAAAGAAATGGAGGAAGAGTACAACGGAACAATCTTTCAGCTAATGTGTGTCTTCAAAGACTTCCTGGCCCCAAATTAACCCAGATACCCTTTGGTTTTTGACAACTTATCAACTAAAAAGAGGGATATCATGCAGCAAAAAGCAGCAAGGTTTGGTTGGGTTTTTTCTCTGAGCACACAAACTCCGCCATGAGTGACTTCTCCTAAGTAACAAGCATGACAGTGTTTGAACTACACAAAAGTACTCCAAATGACATCACAAAAAGAGCCTCGCACAGGTGGCCAGTTAGGCAGGAATCCTTCACTGCACTTTCTGCCACTCTCAGAAAAACCTAGCTGGTCACTGATAGCACAGGTCATTCTGCTGGTTACTACAGTCCCATATTAATGATCACAGTGTGGCAGAGTTACTGCTGTATGGATAAACTAAAGCGCTGTCATCACAACTTTGCAGGCCTGGAATCACTTGTTCCCTCACTTGTCCCAGTATTTCGCAGGCTAGATTAGTGCCCCTGGAAATACGAGTCTCAGCAGGAATTCACTTACAATCACCATGACATAGTTACTGCAGGTGTTTTACTCTTTGACAGTCTTAACCTTTGCATAAGGAACAAGCCCATCTTAAGACTTTCATATCAAAATATTCACATTCGCTGCTAATGTGCCATGCATCTTACCACTGAGGTAGCAAATTGTTCCCCCTGAAAGTCCCCATCTAGTAACAACATTTGACCTGCTACCACTGGGAGCCCTTACTACTAATGACCAATACTGAAAAGAGACCTTACCTTAGATCCAATTTGGTTTCCACACTGGCCAATCTGAAGATGCACAATTTCACGCATTTTGTGTGGCTTAGACCCTTGGTGGCTACAACCCAACAGGTTTTGTGGTTGCAGTCCCCAGCACAAGCCCTCTCTGCTGCTCTATCAGCTACACCCAGCACAGTCTGCCCCAAGGGGCCTTTTTATACTAGTGGGACTGTCACGCAGCCAGCAAGGGGAGTAGCCAGCACCTCAGGCTGCTACCAGTAGGCAAAGTGCCTATTTACTGCCTGTGTACAGGGTACAAGAGCACAGGTACATGACTGAGTGGCTTGGAAAATTGTCACACGCACCCCCCCTTACAGTTAATTCTAGTTCTCTGAGCAGCAGACAGTGTGGTTCATTAATATCTGTGTACCCTGTACTTGTGGTTCATTATTCTATACGTAATCTATATACAAATACGTATGCATATATAGAGGTTGTAGCCAAAAATGAGTGACCTTAGTTTATTAAGTACATGCGCTTCTGCCACATAATTGACGTTTTAACATCAAATGAGTCATAGAGGACAAGATCCATAATAAAACCCAACTTTTTGAGCAGTAGCCCTCTATAATCACCACATTCAATACACTGCCAGGCAAGCTCACAGTTCATAAATAAAGCATTATTGCCAGTGCCTAGCTGCATAAAGGATGGGCTAAGGATCAGTAACAGAAAAAAAACCTTGTAAAACTGCACTCTCAATGATGTACATTTATTAAAACATTTAATAAGAATCCAGCAACTTCAGACAATCAATCAAAAATCTGACTCATCTTCTTATTAACTTGCCCAGATAGTCTCTCCCCCCCCCCCGCCCCCCCTTTTCCTCTCTTCCTTTCCTGCCATTAAGAAATACAGCATTTCTTATCTTTCTTATTTTCTTATATCTGAGGTGCAGTATTTCAGAACTTGCCAGGAAAATGCTAGAGGTGGAAATGCAGTTCTACTGAAGTTAACTGTTATGTTCACTGCATTAAAGGGAATTATGTGAGGCTGAGCAAAACATGACACAGTCATGTTGCCTGCTGATAACAGGACTAGTATCACTGAGCAACAGAAACCCAGAATGGACTGTCCTCTGGAAGCTTATAGGAGTTTTTTTATATGTCAGACAGCTTTCCTTTTAAGGACAGGAAAAGGAACTATAATTAGGAAAGCACCTTAAGTTATTTTGCATTAAAAGATGACAGTGGAAGGACTTGACTCATTGACAGTATGGGTTGCTAGAGATAAGGAATCTCTGAGCTTCCATATGGTTTCAAAAGAAAAATCAGCCTATTCCAGACTTCCCCACCACAGCTGACTTCCACTTCCTTCACCAGGCAACAGAGGAACAGGCAACTGCTCCTAAGACAAAGTTTAGCACCAGAAGTGCACCACACAAAAGTAGCTAGCAAACATTCTGCCATCCTCTGCCGACAGCTTGGGAGCCGTCTTCAGGAGGGAACAAGAAAAGCAAGACCTTACACTCAGGTCAAATTAGTCTGTTTCCTTAAACCCCAACAGTGTTCTCATTTGTAAAACCCAGAATTCTCTAAACAGTTTAGTTTACTCAGGAAAACGAGCAGTGATGTTCCATTGCCACCCTGTAGATATTTTCTACAATGGCAACGGGTATCTTCTAGAGTTTTGTAAGACAAAATTCTGGAAAGGTTATTTGGACGTTTACTTTGAAAGCAAATTTTATCTTACTCATGCACATTCATATTTGTTTTCACCATCTATGCTTAGCTAAAAGTGCAATTCTAAGTTGTACATTCAATCGCTGCATTCTGACACTAAATATATACCACATAAAATATGCAATGCATCAATTTACAGTAGCCACAACTTATGAAGAAGATGCTCATTCACTGTCCAAAAACAACTGGCAAACAATTTCATCAATAACTATTCTCACTGAGAGCATGTCACAAGCAAAACAAACAAAAAAGGGGAAGTAAAAGAAATGTGCAATCACATAACATTGGTTTTTCTCTTGCTGCAAATAGCTCCTTGGAATCATGTGCCTCCTCTGCAGCACTTCCTTACAGTCTTAAAAATGACGGCACGTGACAAAGCACCTGAGGGGCTTTGAAGCCGAAGTGGGTTTGTGCCTCTCCCCTCTCCTCCCCAGCCGTGTCTCTGTGAACCCCCTGTTGCTCTTTACACCAAACCTGGTACACGAGATGCCTGGTTCGCAGTAGATTTGGTTTCAGGCCTGTCCTCAGCTCTGAGAAACCTCAAGCCTGTTAACTGCCCAGTGTGGTCCCCAGGCACAGCCATGGGACATGTGCTAGTGCAGATTAGCCGTGTGAGCGTCACCAGAGAAAGGGGACGGTGTGGCAGGGCTGGCGTCAGGGGACTTTTGGCATTGGGGTGATTAGGAGCAGCCTGGCACTGGGCACAGCTATTACCAGCCTGGCTGCAGGGTCTGTTATCAGCTGCCCACTGCTTCCATTGCCTTCAGAGAGAGCCCTAGATACTAAAGCCCTGACTACGGGGGTAAGCCAAGACCACAAAAGGCCAGTTGCAGTTTTTTTGTTACTGGGTTTTTTTGTTTCTCTTGGTCTTGCTTGTTTTTTTTTTTTAATTAATGCCATCACAGTATCCACTAGCAACAAATACACACGTGCAGGGAGGAATATGTGATGTTTTGTTTTTAATATGGCTTCTTGGGAGGACATGGCTTTTCACAGTAGTGGAAAAGACTGTTGAAAGAAAGCCTATTCAATTTGAGATTAGCCTGGCTCCAGACCACCAGATAATTTGATCTATGGACGGCTACCAGATGAGCTGATGTTAGTCTCAACTGATCTGGACTAGCTATATGATCCTTAAAGATGTTACCAAAAAATGTTGCATTCAACAGGCAATAAAGACTGTCAGCTTCATCTTTTCATTTTGGTTAGTAAGAAAAACTATTTAAAGACTACCTCCTGGTGGCAGGTGATACAAGGGAAGTAAGGCAGGACTGCCCATGTAAGTTATCATCAGTGTAATGAGACCGCACAGTTAAACAAATCCATCAGTTTTGGTACAGTTGGAGTAGGCAACAAAGGAGTTCATTACCTTCCTCATACTGCAGATATATGACCCAGCAAGAACCTGGGGCTTGCAGCATGTGAATTCATCTGCCAGGTGATAAATACCCTTACTTGGGCCCTACTGCCGCAGCAGTTACCGGAGAGTTTGGATCATTTGATGAATCACCAAAAGGGTCAACTGCACAGCAGCAGGCTCAGCTCTTGCTCTGCTGTTCCTTTTGCTGTGTTGGTGCCCAGTTTCTCTATTCATAATGCAGAGCTAATAAACCTCATGCCATTTACAAAACGTGCTGAGAGTTAAGGCAGAAAAGCTGCAAGGGAAGAAGTGGCTGTGGTTCACTAAACCTGTTCTACCAAACACGAAACCTCTAGCCCATAGATGGGAAAGCAGAAACTGGTAGTCCACTTGCACTAATTAAACCTTCTTCAGGAAAATTAGAGAACTATTTCTACTCCTGACTAAACCTTGAGGTAGATAATAAGGAATCTTCAAATGTCCTGAAGTCTAAATAACAAAGAATTGGACACAATTTCTTTGTCAACTGCACCATAAAAGGGCTTGAGAAATTCAAACTTAGGGTTAGCAGAACAACCCCTATCCAAACAAGAAAGCAGCCCTCCTGCTCCCTGCACTCACAGTCACTGGGTGCAGCCTTACACAATGCTGATGTGTGAGGACAAAGGTAAAGAAAGAAACCCATAACCAGTCACACTGGGTCTGCAGCTGTTCCCATAAACAGGGCTCCTTGTCACAACCCCTGTGCTCACAGCAGCACAATGGTTTAACAGCTCCCCCCCCGCCTTTCTTCTTGGGGGGGGGGGGGGTGGGAATGGGGTGTATGTGATCAAAATTGTTTTTCTGAGCGAACACAAGTGATCTCAGGGCTGCGTTCATTCCCTGTCGCTTAAGAAACTAATCAGATACCCTTAGGAAGGATTTGCCAATCTACAGCTTCCCCCAGACATAAGCTGACACTGGAACAGGCTGCCCAGGGCAGGGCTGGAGTCACCGTCCCTGCAAGTGCTCACACACGGCGCAGACGAGGCCCTCAGTGCCATGGGTCAGTGGTGGCCGCGGCAGTACTGGGAATGGTTGGACTGGATGGGCTTAAAGCTCTTTTCCAGCCCGGTTGAATCTACGGCAACCTCCAGGTACGGACCCGCGGGAGCCCCGCAGATGAACACCGCCCGCCCAGCCCCGCCCACCGGGACCTCCCCGCGCCCTTAAATCCCGGCTCCGGGCCGCGCCGTCAGGGAAGGCGTTACCGGACCCAGCATGGTGGCGATGTGCCGGTACCCCGCGGCCCTCCTCCTCGTGCTGCTCTGGGGCTGCCTCTGCCCCCTTGCCCACGCCGGCCTCTACTTCAGGGAAGGGCAGCACTGCTACAAGCCGGCCCCGCGCAGGTCGCCTGGGCTGAGGTGAGGTTCGGCCCCGCCCCGCCGCCCCGTCCCGCAGGGGCTGCGGACACCCCCGGCTCCCCCCGAGCGGCGCCGCGGTTTGGAGCTGGGGAAGGCGCTAAGCGGCCGCAGCGCCCGCCTGCTCGGCGGCTCTGCAAGCCCGGTGGCTCTGCAAGCCCCGCGCCGGCCGGGAGGGGCTCGGGGTTGCGGGGGGGGGTGGGCTCCGTCCGGTCGCCATCGCCCGAGGGGGCTCGGGAGGGTTCCCCGGGCTGCCGTTGACCCGCGGGGCTCCGGGATGGAGGTCCCAGGGGTACGGGGGCTCGGCGGGGCGCAGAGGTGGTCACGGGACCGGTCACACTGTCCGCTGTCACGTGACGGCGCCGGCCACCGGCGGCCCTGTTACGAAACTCCCTCACGTGCGCCCACTGGAATCCCGGTCACGGGAACCCCGCGCTCCAGCTCCTCTCCCCCCCCAGGACCTACCCCCGGCCGTACGAGTACCTGGACATCTCCGCGCTCCCCAGGAGCTGGGACTGGAGGAACGTCAACGGCGTCAACTACGCCAGCACCACTCGGAACCAGCACATCCCGCAGTACTGCGGGTCCTGCTGGGCACACGGCAGCACCAGCGCTCTAGCAGGTAGGCAGCAAAGACCACGGCTGAGACCTGTGGATACACTGCAACAGCGGGAGTTCCCAAGCAGAAGGTCGGGAGGTTTGGTTTGGATAGAGAAAAAAGGTTGAAACTCTGCACAAGGAACGCGCTTGTGGCTCCTGCTATGCTGCTGTTCAGGGCGAGGAGCAAAAAGTGGGTTTTCTGCCCGTCACCCAGTGATGGGCGCAGCAGACACAAAAGCATGTATCACATCTCCTTCCCTTTTTTGGTTCCTACGCCTAGAGCAGCAAGGGGCTACTCCAGCAATGCCTGGGTATGAGGAAACAAATGAAGCTGCCTCTCCTGGGAAGGGCCCACAGGGCATTTGCTTCATGAGCGCCGTCATTCAGATGAACTGACTCCCACAGTGTGCAGGAACATCTGTTTCAGCAGATTCTATCAGCCTTTTCTTGGGGAAAGGGAAGTAGGGGGTTGTTTCAGTTAAATATTTTCTCTAGAGAGAACACATAATGATTTGCATGCACAGTTGTGCTGCAGAAATACTGTCTGCACAGGGCAGGTTGTAAAAGGATTAACTGTGAAGGAGAAACAGAAGGAACTGTGCAGAACTGGAAAGACAACATAGGTGTAAGCAAACAACAGGAATCATGAAGGATCTGTTCTTAAGCACTACAAGAATAGACACGTATGAAATCCTGAAAGTACTAGGACAAATAAAATACAGCACCTTAATTATATAACTTAATTGTATAGGTAGGCATGCCAGTATGTGCATTTTTCTAAGTATAAAAGGTTGATTGAAAAGAAAAAAAAAAACAGGGTATTTTTTTCTTAACTGCTGTGAACAGTTAAAGCATTCGTTCCTGTTCGTGTTGCTGGAAGACTAGGCTGCCATTAACACCTCCCAGTCCTGTCAAATAGAGTTGAATGTTGTTAGTACTAATACCACTAAAAGTACTACAGTGCTATCAGTTAAGACTGCTAATGCGCTGTGAGAAGCGGATTATAAATACTCATGGGGAAGCTTCTCTGGCAAGTAAGCTAGTTGTATCTGCTAGTAAGCTAGCTGTTTCTGACAAAGTAAGACAGCCAAGTGGCACTGCTTGTCTGGGATGGTAGGGTTGATGTAAGAGTGAAGGTCTACTTATGAAAGTTCTCCTTGCCTTAAGTTTTTAAAGACCTGTCTCTCAGATCATGGGCTGCATGGGCTCAGGTCTGCCTACATGAGTTCATGTACAAAAGGCTAGTGAGATGATGTGCTTGTCAAAGCCAGGAAATGGATATGGAAGGTTTCAGAAGCTGTGACTTAAAGAGGTCTAGGGCACTTCAGGGCTTTAAACAAATCTAGCTCATCTGTGTATACTGAGTTTTAATGGAAAATACTTCACATGGAAACCCCCAGTAACAGCTCAGCCTGCTGGTGTGAGCTGGGTCATGCTGTGTGCCTCACTGTTGACAGTAGAGGCTTTTACAACCACAAGTACTGCTGCCTGCAAACAGTTACAGTTCAGTGGATTTTTAACACTAGTTCCAATGTGTAGCCACTCATATATTTTGCTAACAAAATACAATTTCTTATCCTTACAGACCGAATCAACATAAAGAGAAAAGGAGCATGGCCTTCTGCCTATCTCTCTGTTCAGAATGTGATTGACTGTGCTGATGCAGGATCCTGTGAAGGTGGAGACCACACAGGTGTTTGGAAGTATGCCCATGACCATGGCATTCCAGATGAGACCTGCAACAACTACCAAGCTAAGGATCAAAGTATGATGCCTATTTGCTCTGCTGTAAGGCTTCATCCCAGGCTTAGCAGAGCTTAACCTTCAAAAAAACCCTATAGTTTCTTGGGTTTTCAGCATACTGGTTCCTGCCTTTTGGTGTACTACTTCCTGTTTGACTGACGGGTTTTCCTTACAGGCCTTTCTGTGTGTGTCTTTAGCCAGACAGCATAGCATTAAATCATGTCCTGACAAGTTAGCACAGCTAAATTGTTTTAACCTAATCTCTTAAATCAGTGATACACTATCTCTAATGTATTAAAATATTTACAAGTGTCACCTCAAGCTAAAAAAAGGAAAAAATGTAACCTGTTTGGTCATGTGTGACTGGAATAGTTTCTGTATCTATAGAGATGCACATCTGAAACATTCCCTCCCCAGAGCACTTAGGCCTAAGAAGTAAAGCAATTGTAACTAGTAATTGTAGAGACTTTAAATGTAGTTTCCATAAATTCTTTTCACTGGAGTACATATTAGTAATTACTCTAGTATCTGCCTCAAATAAGTTCAGAAAGAAAAAGCTTAGTATCATATCATAATTAATTCACTTGAAGAAAAGCATTCTCTTGCAGTGATGATCTTGCTTTTGTTTTGTAGAGTGTAAGAAATTTAATCAGTGTGGCACTTGTGTCACTTTTGGAGAGTGCCATGTCATAAAGAACTATACTCTCTGGAAAGTTGCTGACTACGGGTCTGTCAATGGAAGAGAAAAGATGAAGGCAGAAATCTATACTAATGGACCAATCAGGTAAAATACATCTTGAATGGTAAAAATACTTATCTACTAGCGATACTGTGACTGAAATACTTGAAACTCAATCCAATGACTGAAGTGTAGTTCTCCACTCTGGCTTATGTTAGCAGCTCTGCATTAACATGCAGGGCTTCAGCTTGTTTGTAGATAAATTGAGCCCTAAAGTGAAAATATAAGAAAATCAATTGGTTTTAGCCAGGCCCCTGCCTGATCACCTTTATATAAAAATTTTCTTCCTCTGTTTCATTACAGCTGTGGCATAATGGCTACGGAGAAGCTGGATGCTTACAGTGGAGGACTTTATACAGAGTACAACCCCTCAGCTGTGGTGAATCACATTGTATCTGTGGCTGGCTGGGGTGTAGAAAATGGAACAGAATACTGGATTGTTCGTAACTCCTGGGGTGAACCCTGGGTAAGGAAACATGGGAACAAACATGCTTACAAATTATTTTAGGGGAAAGGTGGGGTTGCAGGCAGGAAGCTGCAAAGCTAGCCTGTGGGTAGGAAAAGTAGAAGTTTCTTTAAACTAGTATGAAGCGTAACTAATCTGAAGACAAGGCTATTCAGAAAAGCTACTCAAGTTATGTCGACTCGATCCCAAATGCTACCTTCTTTCATGGGCATGCAGCTCCTGTTACGGGCAACTCTAAGTTACTGTTGTAGGCAAAAATTAAGTCGTGGAATAGATGGGGAGGAGGGGAGGGTATAAATTCACCTAAGCAGATTGCCCCTGTGAGCCTAGTGTTACACTTCATCTTAATTCCTAGATTCACTAATAAATCATTCATATCTGGAAGACAGAACATTGTGTAATTAACAATGTGAATTAATTCTTTACAGGGTGAAAGAGGGTGGCTGAGAATTGTGACAAGCGCATATAAAGATGGAAGAGGAGCAGAATACAATCTTGCTATTGAAGAGGACTGTGCATACGGAGATGCTGTACTTCCTTGATTCTATAGTGTACATCTTTCTGTTTAGAAACCACTTTAGAAGCTTCCCAGCACAACCTTTTTCTGTTTAAAGGATAGCAGTCTAAAATTCCTTCACAATTCAAGACCATCAGGCAGTTCTGCAAAATTAGCCCAGACAGCAACACAAAATGTCTTCAAAGTAAAATACATACAGAGCTGCCTTCAGGTATCTCCAACTTAAAAGCCTTTTACCCATGAGAAAAGTGTTCTGTGTTGATGCACAGTATTGAAATCATACTGACTTCAGTGCAGAAACTAAATATCTGTTTAATTACAAATTATGTAGGCATACTGGGAAGGAAAAAGTATACTCAATATTTGGGTCTAGAGATTATATTAAATTCTCTGACAGTATTGAGCAAATATCTCACAAATCATGGTGCTCACAAGGCTAAGTCTGGCCATGACATGTTAAAAACCTAAATCCCCTGTCGCTTCCTTGGCCTCATGGTAAAACAGTGGTGTTGGAAGTCTCATGTAATGCAGTTACATTTATGCAACCAGAATGATTTATCAGGAATTACTTTGCTCAAAAACCAATTACTTACTTATGTCCTTGCTCAAATTCTGTGCTTTAATATGTGATTGGCTGTGCCCTTTTTCTCCTAAAGGGGCAAAGCTTAAATTGCCACAGCCCATTACTCTCTTAATTTGAAGGTTTCCAATTCTCTTCCTTCACACTTAGCCAGTTACCAAGTGGCAAACGAGTGTAATATCAAATGTTACTAAGTGGCATTAATTGCATTTAATAAATGGACTTTTTCTTACACAACTATAGCTGTATTGTAAGACCTTACTAATGCATAAATTTGGTTGTACTTAAGAAGTAAGCTCATGGGGTAGCTTACTGAGGATGGCACTGCTTTTACTGGACTTTTTCTTGTGAAACGGCTGGTTGACAGCACAGTATACAGCAACTAAAATGGTTCAAACAATTCAGCTTAATCTTCAGTGTGCATAAATGTAGTGGAATGTAAGATACAAGTTTCAGGGAAGCATCCAATTTCAACAAGACAGAAAAGATAAATTCAGATGTAGAATAGCACTTCTAAATGTCAATCTTCAAAGCCTAATATAAATGAAAACAACCTGTGAATTATGTGTCACTCAAATCTGTAAGTTACAGCTTTGTAATGGTGCAGAGGAGGGGGAAAAAATGTCTTCCCCAAAACTGTATCTATCTGCTGCCTCTCAGTTGGTAGTTTCTGCAACTTACCTTACCTTTCTTCCACAGCTAAACCAAAGAAGTCTGCTGCTAATGACAAAATAAGTTTGGTAGAGTCATGAAGATCAATAAAAGCATAAGATTGCTAGTATCTAGGATGGAATTGAGGAGATGGTGCTGTTCGGATCATTTAAGTTTCAAATAGCACAGCTTTTAGTATTGTGACAATGAGCATGTTTTAGACCAGATGCTTTAGGCCATATTCCAGTAGGCTGGTGTTTCTGGTTGGAAAACTGGAAGATGCACTCCTTTTTTGTAAGAAAGGAGAAGTAAGTTAATCTAAAACTGGCTGCTGTCTCAAGAAGTATCGTGGTAGCTTAAGTGTTCCCGTGCATGAATCACAACACAGAAGAACAAGGTGATTTCCTCCTTACATTTATGTGCAGCTGGACTTAAAGTCCCCATGTCTTTTTAGAAAGCAGGTTCTTCAGAGAACAGATGTGCTTGGAAAAAAGCACACTGGGCTTGTCTACACCCCTCACTTTTAAGCAAACGAACAGTATTTACCTGTAGAAAGAAAATCCAGCCCAATAAAAAGAAAAAGTGGCCTTAATAAAACTTTGAGAGAAAGCTCTGGAAAAGAAAAACCCCTTTATTTAAAGGTAAATTATAATCTTGGGTGTATCCCTGCACTGTCTGGCATCTACCAGGACAGAGTAGAGATAAGTACAAAAAACAAGCCACAAGAAGCAATTATGACATTTCTGCACACATTCACGTTGCTGGACAGCAGTAGAATGGTAATGAAACTTACCAGTAACATTGAAGCATCTATTTAACAAAAAATAGATTCTGAAAGATAACGCACTCACATCTACGGTTCATCTGTTTGTTAATACAAAGCTAACCTGGATTGTTACAAACCCATAGCAGGAAATACATAGGATTTTTTTAGAACGCTAAATAATGCAAAGGTGAGAAAGAGCTAATCACACTAATTCCTTCTATACAACTTACAGCATCAAAGCCTAGAGCATTCAAGATCCAGTCTTCAGGGAACTATCTGCAAAGCATTTCCCCATTCTTCAGGTTTTGTATTTTACACAAAGAATCAGTGACAAATTCTCCAAGCAACCAAAATAACATTCTTTGAAATAAATGTTTTTCTCCTGCTATTCCCTTCAGAATATTCAGATTTCCACTGATGTGTGTAATAACAGAAAAACCTTCAGTATTATTCCATTTTCCAAAGTACATTAACAGACCTCTGATATGAAGCTCAAGGTCACCATGCAAGTCAATCAATCAAATGCCCTTCAGCCCTTTCTCCCTTGGTTTGGGTTTGTGGTTTTTTTTTGTTTGCTTTGAGGGGTTATTTTTGCTGCTTTGCTGCCCAGTTACAGAGCCTTTCTGGTGCAGAGTATGGTAAAGCAGTGATAGTGTGCTCTGTGTTCTTCGTGTTTTCCACTGCTTAGTTTATCATAATAAAGTTAGATTTGCAATGAGCTTAAAAGAGAAAAAGAAAAGAAAAAAAGCATTCAGTACACTAGTTTGAGTTATTTGTTTGCATGCAGACTTCTCAATTATGTAAATAGGATTTTAGGGCCTGGATGGATGTTTTTCTTTTAGGATTGGAATGTATCATATGTCAGACTACTTCCCTTAGTACAGTTCTAGTTCTCAAAAAGCAGTATTTGTCTCAAAGTTCCTCACTACTACCGAGAGATTCTTGATTAAAGGAAAATTGCTAAACACAGGCCCTTAAAAGGGAAATTATCTGTGAAAATATCTGGCAGGCATTCCTATTTTTAGCAATCCTCCTTCTAAACATTATTTGCAAGTTAGAACAAACAGAAAAGGAAGCAAGCATGCAAGGAATAAATATTACTTACCTATAAATTCAGTCACAGGGTCATGTTCACCTTCTGTTTTAATAGTGCCTGCAATACTTTCATTCTCCAAGATTGGAAGAAAAAGCTGTACAAAGTCCGAGGTATATGGAGGAGCAATCACATCAAGTACCTGAAGCAGCAGACAAAAATGGATTATTCTTACAGTTAGAGGGGTAGTAAGTGCAATATTTAATTCACAATACTAGCCTTGGAAGCATACAAGTAGCTGCACATAAAGCTTCTAATTACGTATTCTTCTGGTACTCTATCCGCTACCTTTCAGAAGTCAGCAGTCAGTAGGCCTCAGTCACATCCCAATGAATACTGATATTACATATATCACTCAGAATCTAATCTCGTATCTTGCTGATACTAAAGTTTATTTATATATGTTAGTAAATGCATTTTTGCTACTGACCTCTGTAACAAAGTATCTGATGAGAGAGATATCTGTATCTAGCTTCTCCAGGCATTTGCGGATATAGCTGACAACAGGAAGGACATATCCACGGCTGAGTAAGTGCACCATTCTATCCAAGAGAGTCTTCTTCAATTCCAGCTGATGGTATGAGGAGGTAAGAACCAACAGATTAGAACTTCTTCTCAAAAGCGTGCATTTTTTATTGCTCATTCTTACTGATTCTCTATCTGCTTTGTTAGATTTAAACCATGACTATATTCCTAAATTACACTCTTAAAACTGCTGTGACAGCAAAGCTATTATCTTGAATAAGCGTAACTAATATGATAATCACCTGCTCCATTACATCAAGCTGTGAATGCTCTGTTTCAAAGAGCTTGACAAGAAGTTGTAGAACTTGGGGATGAAGTAGCTGATGGCACGTACTGATCTGCAAACAAGACAGGAGAGTTAAATCCTCAGAACTTCAATTTTAAAACCAGTGCAGCAGTCTTTATTAGAAAGGTTTACACTGATGTTCATGCAGATGTAAACCCTTTCATTTCTTTCTTTAATGCCCAAGTTTTCCTGTCATAAATAATGCTCAGCTGACAAAACCAAGTAATTTACTCTGAACAGAGATTAATCTCTATGTTTAATGACTTACTGCAAATGTTATGCAGTGAACTGTCAAAACTGTTCTTACTCTCCAACAAGGCTTTATATACACTTTTACCTCATCCAATAATGCCAGATGAACTGGAGTGTGATCAGTCTGCAGCTGGAAGTATCGTGGTTCTGACACTGTCCAATCTACCCACTTTAATACACCCATTGCCACGACTGGGAACCTGCAAAGAAAAGAGATCGCTTTAGCACAGGAGCATAAAACAAAACAACCCAACAACAGAAAGACCCCAAAACAAAACTCCCTGTAAATTAAAAATTATAGAATCCTCTTTCAGTATATTCTAATGGTTGCTAGAATTACAGTTTAACTTACAGAACTCATAAAGTTGTGCTTGAGAAGTTGCCAGCACACCAAGTAGTTTTTCCACAAAAAGGGGGGGGAGGGGGAAATTATATAGCCTGGAGGAAAATTCTTGCTACGAAGACACTCCCTGCTAAGCACAAAATGCAAAACATAGGCAACAAAATTTATGTATACTCCTAGTTTGTTCCAGTTTATTCAGTAGCTATTTCATACTTTTAAGAGGAGAAAAAGAACACCGCAAAGACATCTACTGCTAGGAAAGTTTTACTGGGAAGACAAAGTAACCTGTCATCTTTTTCCAGTGGCAGAGAAAAGCGTGTTCTGTGACACAAGGATGACAAGTTGTCGGTGAAAGCCAGAACTTGTGTCCTCATGAGACTCATAACAGTCAGATGCACAATTCTGAAAGCTGCTTTCAGACCACATCTTCACATATTCTGCAATGAGGATGTTCTCAGAGTAGCCTACAAAAGCATTTCCCTTCAGCAGTACCCTAACCTCGCCTAAGAATACTTTCCTTCCAACAACTAAAGCTTGGGACCAGTATTTCTGCTCACCTGATGCACTGATAGAGAGTGCTCAGTTCTGCAACCAACTCTGACGCTCCTTTGTTCTCATTGCAACACAGATTGTGAACAGTTTCAATGGCTTTTGAAGTTGACTTCAGTTCATCCTTGTTTATACTGACTCTCTTATTCTGAAAAATTCCAAAGTTTGAATGCAAGAGTTGAGAATATCGAAGATAACTCTGGTTATTTAAGGAAAGGAACTGTGATTAGCCTGAGATGACATTATGTTTCTCAAAATTTAGATTCAAATCCAAGTTTCAGAAGAACTAATTATCAGTGAACTGAAGCACAAGGATGGTTGCTTTATTTAATTCCCTTTAGATTACCTTACCCACTTCATAGAATTGAATTCCACTTCCTCTGAAAAAGTACATACAGTCCAGTAATACAAAACTGCTACTGACTGGTAAACTCTGGGGGGAGGTGAGGGAAAAGAACACAAATACTCAGTGCACTCAGACTTTTATAGTACTATTTGGTCATCAGTATCTACATTTTATAGTCATTTCAGTTGAAGCCAGAAACATTTCCTATTAAAGTAAGTAAATCAAGCATAATACATTATCTTTAATTGAGCAACTTCACAACCATACATGTTCTTCAGCACAGCCAGGCCACTGCAAGTAGTACTATTCACAGAACTGAATATTACCTTCTTCCACATCTCTACTACACTAGCTGCATATGCCAGTATGTGAATATATTTATGTTTGTGATCCTGGTTGATCTTGGCACCTGGCTTAAACAATGACTGCATGAAGAGATCCAGAAAGGCAGGTACTCGAATCTGTGAAGGAAATTAATGTTTTATTAGAGCCTGAGAATTATAAGAGGTGACTAAAAATACAGGTTTTGCATCTGATATACCTTGCACAGAAAGAGATATAACGCATTGCCCCTTGAGAGTGGGTCAGAGAGTTTTATAAAGAGACCCAAACTTTTGACAGAAAGGAGGGGGGGGAAGTGGGAAAAAAGTTAAAAAGCAGGGTAGGAATAGAAAGAAAAAACAGATTTACAAACTACATTGCTAAAGTTTGCTACCAGAGCCCACATCAGAGGGAGCCAGTGAGAAGAGTGAAATGTCCATTTAAGTCTTCTTATAATAAATTGCAAACTGGGTGGGTTTTTTCATTATTTTTTTTATTAGTAGTAGCTAATTTATTCCTTGCCATCTTTATCTCCTAATTGAAAATCTCTTTAATTAATCTATGAAAAAAGACAAATTGGAATGATTAAAAAAAAAAAAAAGCCAAAACCCAAGCTATCAAGAAGCTAATGCAAAATAGAGTACAAGCAGTAGTTTCACATTTAGACATCAAAGTTATAGAGGGATGAGCCTGAGTACTAACTTCTATTTTGTGTTGCTACAACACTTAGCACAAATAAGCCTCATCTTTCTGACTGCTACTGTAGTAGAAGAATAGGTCAGAGGTTGTAAGAAGATAGCTACTGACCAGTTCCACTGGAGGTGGGTCCATGCTTGTAAACATTTTGAACAGGACAGTGATGTCTGCTGGATTCAGAGCTCCTTTGGACAACATAGCACCAAGAGCCTGACATGCTCGAGGATAGGAGGCTGCAGTACCCAATGCTAAAGTGATCTGACTGGCATCATGGCCTCTAGAAGAGCAAACATACACAGCAACTTATTTTCATAATTCACACATTTTCATTCTAGCCTCACTGAGTCAACAGGGCACATCTTATGGAATGTAATGACTTAAGGAAGAACCCCTTATCCTGGGTAATCACAGAAGAAAGATACATATTTTTTAATAGACAGAATCTTCAATTCTTTGCTCTTCTGATTTCAAGGCTCCTAGTACAGGACACTGAACTTTTCTGTTCTTTCGCAAATTAAAGCTTGGTACAGGAGCTGTTACGTTGCAGCTAAGAATTCTCCTTTTGCTGGTAAAAGGTGTCCTAAGTTCAGCTGTTCCGTAACAGTTTCATTTCTCCTTCTCAGTAGCTGGTGCAGTGCTGCATTTCAGCTACAGTCTCACAGCAATGCTGATAATACACCAATGTTTTGGCTGTTGCTAAGTAATGTTTACCCTGATCAAGGACTTTTCATTCTCTCATATGCTCTGCCAGGGGCACAGGACAGAGCAGAGACAGCACATCTGACCCAAATTGCCAAAGGGGTATTACGTACCACAGCACACCATGCCCAGTATATAAACTGAGGGGAGTTACCTGGAAAGGCCAGATCACTGCTGGGGTCAGACTGGGTATCAGTGAGTGGGTGGTACACAATACAGAGCAACTGTATTGTGCATTATTTGTGTTTATTTTGTTTCGGGCTTTTTTCCCCTTCCCTTTTTAGTTTTGTATTCTCTCCCCTTGTTATTTCTTTTATCATTATTAGTGGTAGTAATAGTGCTTTTGTATTATACCTTAATTACTGGACTGTTCTTCTGTCAACCAATGGGATTTACATTCTTTTGATTCTCCTCCCCATCCTTACAGGAAGGGGGGGGGGAAGAAAGGTGGAGGGGTGAGCAAGCAGCTGCACGGCTCTGAGTTACCAGCTGGGCTTAAACCACAACAAAAGGTAATCAAAGATGAGCAAAACACAACAATTTACAAATCCTGGTGACTTATATTTCACTTATATATAACTCCTACTTACTTCTCATGAGCATACCGCTGAACCTCCTGAGCAATCCGCCTGACAGCTGACCCTCCTTGCTCTTCTTGAGCCAATATGGACATCATAGATTGAGCAAAAAGGTAAGTGTGTTCTCCATGGCACACCATCTTCTGTTAGAGCACACATCAAAAATTTTATCAAACAACAGGGAACATGCAAGTATGCTGCTGGACTTACACTGCCACAATAGCAAAGATTTCAATGAAAACTACTAATCTAAAGAAAAGAAAATTAAAAAAAACAAACAAACCCCACAACAAAAAAAAAAACAACAAAGCAATCAAAACCCTACACAAAAAACTAACCACAATCCCCAAAACCCAACAGCCAAGAAAAATGTACAGAACAGCACAGTATCACTATGCACTGATGCCACGGAAGAAGAAATGGCTAAATTAAGAACTTTGTTTCTTAAATACCATGATTGAGAGGAACTTCTCTCCTAGGTACACTCAGTACTTTCTCTGCAATATTTAAAAAGAGAACTACAAAGGCATCCAAGTCATTATGCAATTTCACTACACAGAACGTAAGCTGAATTGATTCACATGGCAACTTTCACAGTGATGTGGATCATAAAAAGAATTATTTTCATTTCCCAGAGGACTGACTAGACTGATCTTTAGATCTTGTGTTAAATGTGGAAGACAATAGTTCTATATTCACCTTTTACAAACCATTTAATAAATATGAGAAATGTTACATAAGCTACCCAAGTAATTCTTGGCCACAAAATGATCAAAAAGCACAGATTTCTTTGGGTTATTTTTAAACTCATATATAACTTCCCTTCACAAGATTTCTGAAGACTCGATGTTAAACAAACAAACAACCCCCCCCCCCCCAAGTCCCAAAACACTTACAGCAAACTCAGGGAGGTTTTTTTCTAGGTTTTCTTCTCCTCCATCTAAAATTGTTGCCAGAGATGTACGCAGGACTCTGGAAAATACTTCTAGTTGCTGACAGGCTGTTGAAACACTGGTTATTTCCCCTTGATATCCAGCATCAGATATAAGCTATAAAACCAAAAACATCACAGAAAACTTGTATTATTTGCATTTATATTTCAGATATCCTAACAAGTCTAGAAGAACACACAGAATGGTAAGATTTGCCTCTGCATACACTTGGTGGAATTCATGTTTGTCTTTCACTACAGAAAAGGAAATAAAGAAAGATGTAGCAAAAAATGTAAATCATAATGACACAAAAATATATTTCAGAACACAGCAAGATAGAACATTCTTTCCCTGTCACAGGAACATACCAAGCTGACTGAAATGTCATACTGCACCAGAAATCCAGAATTCTCAGATAACACATCACAGGGAAAAAACAAACTGGGAAACTACACTTACTACTTGCAACCTGTAACACAATTCCTCCTATCAATGTGTCCTTGCACTGTTCTGACATTTGAATAAGCAGTATTAGCAGGAATACATAAAACATACAGGTAGGATCAGAGACGATATTTGATGCCAGAACAATCAGCCACTTATGGATATTCTCATTTATCAGACTTGAGTATAGTACCTTCACAGTAAAATTAAGCATTAAACAGTCAGGATGGGCTTCTGCCAACTTGTAGAAGAGATCTCTCCATGTAGTATGTGCTATCATTTGCTCAAGCCAGGCTGGAGTCTGAAAGATTAGAGCAATAAACAGAAATGTAAGAATTTCTAGTTGCCAAGGTCATTAAAAGCAAACCTTTTACCTTTCAGGGAGTCCTGCAAGTTGTTGTACAGAACTTTATTACAAAGGAGGATGCCTCTGAAGTTTCTACGTTCTCTAGGCCTCTAAAGACTTCAGTGAGACACAGCTGGTTTTCTGAAACCAGTTGTTTCTTTATCAAGGAGCTCTGAAGATATGACTTTCCTTCCCCCACTGTCCACTACTCCATCAGACGAAGGTAAATGTATAGGATTCACTCATGTAGAGACAGCAACACAGATACAATGCACACCTCTCCTTCCTCTGTAAAGATGGAATCTGCTTTCCGAGGGTCAAAATGCTTAATAAGTAAGCTCTTTAAATGGTTTTCTACAGTCTCCTGAACTTGCAGTGGCTCAACACCTGTACAGAAGGAAGAAAAACCCTTAGCAGATGCAATCCAATCAAACATGGCAGCAACACCTTAAGTATTTCAACAAGAACAGAAACTACTCATAAATTTATCAACACAGAGAGGAGCGCCATCAGTTCTACTGTCAAGCCACACTGATACAGACAGATTCAGGTCCTTGATCTTTTTTCCTAAATGCAGACTGTTTAGGATCACAGGCAGGTCACACTAGTCCTTCTCTCTTGCTCTCTTCATCAGTCATGCAACCAGCTATGTCAGTCATTTCACAAGACTGTTACTGGGCATGACACCAAAATGCACATATCTTAAACACAAAAGCGATCAAAAGGATGGTGCACAACCCACCTTATACAGACTAAAGCCCACCCTTTCAGTATGTTTGCTACCAGTACCTTTGATAGTATACAATAAAAGAATACACAAAGTTGCAGTAAGCAGTTCTACGATTCCAAGATCAGGGCATAATAATTCTGCTAATTTGTAAATGAAAGTTTATACTAGGCTGCTGAAGAATTCAAAAGCAGACGGTAATACAGAATTCTTAAGAAAATACAGGCATCTGTATGACAGCTTTCCACCTAACCATTCATCTACTGAAAGCTATAGTAACTAGCAAGAGGGTAGTTGTTCAGTTATTTATATTGTACTCCTAGAAACAATGAAATATTGGTAAGACCATCTACACAACAGTACCTGTAACTGTAAAAATAAAATATAGTTTATGGAGCTGCTTGAACTGTATTACCCTTTATCATAGTTTGTGAGCATTTCAAAGTGTTTCTCAACAGATTATTTATTCTCTGTATAGAATAAGCGTATTATAAAGAATTTAGTCATACACGCATACAGGATGTCAAGTTCACAATAATCCACTTCTTGAGTATGATCAAATTTGCCACCGATTCAAATATTTCTGACAGAATGAAGACCCAAATTATAGTGTATCAATCACTTATCAATCATACCTGTCTGAATGAGCCACTCTGCCAGCAAATTTACAGTCTGTGCCACTGCAGTGTAGTTTTCAGAGAGGAGCTGGATAACGTTCTCTGGAGAACCTCCTGCTTGGAAATACCTGATGAAAGGATTACAAAAGAACTAGTTGAGTGTCATATTAAAAATCAAACCCAACTGAACTCTAAATAAAGGAAAAACAATAGCATTATTTATGAGCTTTCACACAAACTTCCATACAAAGTGACCACACCACTGTAACACACACAACGTGCATTTTAACACATATAAGGCTACACTCACCTCTTTAACGTGTTAAATATAGACGGCTCCATTATATAGTCAGGGGTTGAAAATTTCTTCAGGCATTCTTGCTGGACTTCGGCATCATCTTCCCCCTCCCCATCCTCATCGTCTTGCTGTTTGCAAGCACAGGCAAGTCAGGCACCTCTCTTGTCCTGTTTCCCCCTATAATCCCATCTTTAGACTACTTTTGCCCACAGAAACTCACACACCTCGGCTCACCCTAGGAAGCGACCTCCTCCACACAAAACCAAGACTTTCCAACAGAGAAGGCACAAAACCAACCAGTTGTTTTCCTCCTTTATAACGCTCTCAAGCCCCAGGCCCCAACACAGGAGACTTCCCCACCAGCCTCTACACTCAGCGCTCATCACCTCAGGTCTGATCCCCGCACGCGGCTCCCCCCACCCGCAGAGCGAGAATGCCCGGGAGCTCCTCTGGAACCTACTCGACGCCCCAAAAAGTCCCCGCTTTCCAGAGCGGCCCCGGAGGTGAGCGCTCCCCCTCACAGGCCGCTCCAGGCCCGACACCGAGCTGCCGACTCCCGCAGGGCGGGCAACCCAAGGCGCGCCGCCTCAAAGACGCCCGCAAACGCTCACCGTCCCTCCGTCTGCCTCGTTCCCCCACTCTGCCGCGCTCCCTTCGAAGTAATCAGCGTCCTCCATGGCTCCTCCCGCCCCGGGCCGAAAGAGCCGCAGCGACTCCCGGAACCAGGCCGCCACCGCCCCGCGGGGAGGAGCGTCGCGGAATGGCGGGCGCCGGGAGGGCGGAGCCGCCGCCACCGCAGGGCCGGGCGGGGCGGAACGGAGGAGGAGGAGGAGGAGGAGAAGGGTGGGATGCGGCCAGCGGCAGCAGCCGGAGGGGCGCAGCGGGGCTTCCTGTGCCGCAGAGCGTGTCCCGGCCCGGCGGGGCTGACAGGAGCCGGCGGCGCGGCCGTTACCGCAGAGCTCAGCGCTGCCGGCGGTGAGGCCCTTGGCTGATGAATGACGGCTGAAAGCCGCCGTGAAGGACTGCCGGTGAACGTGGAACACGGAGTGTGAAAGCGGTGGCGGTGGTTCTGGATGCAGCTGAGTCACGTTGTTTTCCTTGCGCTTCCTGGAGCATGAAGAGGATATTGAACAGCAGCAGCAAGTTGATAGTAGTGATCAAATGTTATGGTGGAATTAAAAAAAAACCCTATCAAATAGGAAAAAAAGAACAGGAAAGGTAACTTTGGTAGAATGGAAGTGGGAAGATTATTTGGGTTTGATTCTAGTGGTAAAGTTTTGTGACCAAGCACTGGTGTAACTCTGTGTACCCAAAACTTGCTGGAGAATAGCATTAAATAACATTACTGCCTTTTTTCATTGCAAACAATTTGGGGGGGGGTGGGGAGACGGGACATTACTTTTAGCTTAAGACAAAATCCTGAAGACTTTAATGTGAAAAAAACATCTTAATAAACCAACTGTACTCCCTATAAATAACACTAGTGGCGTTAGTTACCCATTTCATTTCTGGACAGAAGAGTGTGCTATGTGAGCCCATCTCTCTATTCCTGAGGCTCTTAGGAAGTCTGTAACCATACAGGGCAGATTATTTCTGTTCCCCTATGCGTGCAGGTAGATCCCCAAAGCAGTAGTTGTGCTAACCTCAAGACCTTAGTACAGACCATCCTGGGGGTGCTGCAGAGTCCCAGAGGAGATGGGTTCAGCTCTGGTGCTGACTGAAGGCAAGGGGCCAAGAGGGCACCCAGCAACACAAGGACCTAAAAAGTTACAGATGGATTAAGAAGGGATAAGTCTAAAGCGAAAACTGATCATACAATCTGACCCTGGGCAAGGAGACAGGCATTACCAAAATGGAGACCATGTGAGAGAAACAGAGTCCCTTTGTCTCTCTTGAGATCCACTCCTGTTCCCCAATTGTATGAATGTAACTGTAAGAAAGGGGAGGGTGAGGGATGTTCTGGGATTTGGAGGGCAGCTAACAGCATTGCTGATTAATTATTTAAGAAGTCCTTTATTCTCATTCAGTTTCTAACTGAAAAACAGTAAAAAGAAATTACATATTCTTCCATGCAGTCCATGAAATTGCATGGTAGGAAAAGCCAAAAAGCCCTGTTCAGAAATAAGCTGTCGTAGGTATGGTCACTGTCTTAGTTAAAGGGCTTACTGTATTCAAGATTTCAGCATAGAAAATACAGACAACCCCCTGAACTGCAGCAGAGCGCAAGTTGTGCTGTTGTGTGCTGCCCTGCAGTGGTGAAGCAACCCTTCCTGAAACATTTCTTCAGCATTTTTGTGAGCCCAGGGTAATGTTCTTTTTGCTCTGTCAACAGAAAGGAAAAGTTTCAGAACAGAAGGCAAGACTGAAACAGAGGCACAACAGACACATTCTCTACCTGTGCTAATGATTGCTCAATTGCCTGCAGTCCAGAAGGCAGTCAGGTAACATTTCAATGCTTATGGAAGCACTGGCCGTTTTTTAAGAGGAAAGAACTGGAGTGGAGTGACAGGCTGAGGCTGGAGGCCAATGGAAATATCCTTGACAAAAAGGTTTTGATGATTTCCATCGCCTAGATGTGAGAAAACAATAGTGTACTCGGAAGAGACACTGAGATTAACCAGTCAGATTATTTTCCTAAGAAATATTTTTAAACTTAAATCAGAACATATTTTTAAAATATTTTAAAATAGTAGAAGGTATTTTCCCAAGAAAATACTGGACCTAAATTCAATATAAAACTGTAAGTTCTTTTGTCTTTACATATGTGTATCTCTTATTTTGATTGCAGTAACAGATTTTGGGTTTGGGTTTTTTTTTAATATATAAGGAAAGAACAACACTGAAAGCATTTACTTTCAACTTTCCTTGAGGAGAAAACTAGGAACCTGTAACAGAGCCAGACATTTGATGAATAACCCTTTGCAGAAGAACTGTAATATCCAAGCTCTCCCCGCTTCAGGTCAATAAACAAAAGGCAATGTCAGATCAAACCCAACAGTTTCAACGTATCATTTAAACTGTGATGAAAAACTAAATATATCAGAAATTGATTTTGCAAACTAAACTTCTACAACTTTGAATGGATACAATGTTGGTGTCTTCTTGGGTTTATCTGTCTTCTCAAATATGGATTTTTTTTTTTTTTTACAAAGTTTCAGTAAAATCTTTGTAAATAAAAGCACTTAGATTTGCACGAATGTCCCTGAAATAGCTCATTATCCAGCAAATGACTGCAAGTTTTTCCCTACATGCGTATTTGACTACAGTTTGTGTGTAAAATATTCTTGATTCTTCAATTATCATTGAAGGAGATTTTTGATGAGCGTATTAAAGATAAAATTTTGAGGCCAATAAATGTAACATGAAGGCCAGCCCAAGTCTCTGCTGCATGCTTTGGAGGACCAGTAAAGGCATCCTGGAAAGTAGATGCGTGAAGAAGAGCCAGATCTACAGAAATGTGGAACAGAAATTAAGGTTGGTTTCATAAAGGAGTAAAGAATAAGTATCAAATGCTCAAGTTTCAATTCCACCCACCTACCAAAATTTGTTGCTTCATTTTTGAGAACATTTCTTAACAACTGCTTCAAGTTTTCCTACCTAAAGAAGGGCTCAATACAGCTGTTGACCCAACTTCACGTGGTTCCTTCCAGGAATTAAAGAAAAATTTCAAACAGAAGAGCCGACTTCAACAAAACTGTTTTCCTTTTATTTCATGCCTTTTTTTAGTAATACCCACCCTGACATTCTCTGTATGCTAACTATCTCTGCTCCTCTCCCTCTACAAATTCTTTTAGCATCAGTTTTGTATTTTGTAATCATTAGCCCTTTACCAATCAGCCAATACATTGAACTAGAGAGAAGGCTGCTAACTTTTGAGTAGGAAATTACAGCAGCATCAAGTTAGGCTAACGAGTTTTGGCTGAAGAATTCTTCCTTCTCAAGCAGAACCTCAAGAGTAAGCATTTTCGTTTGAGATTTGCAGCTACTGGTAACAGTTATTCCAGACATTAAACACCATGATACTTTCCCAGGTAATTGAGAAGCATTCTGAGACAAAACAAGGTGGGTTTTAGGCTGCCAGCATAATGTCATTCTAGGCTCCTTCAAACACCAGCTTCAAAGTTGGAATTGTATTCACATACTGTGGATTGCTTGAAAGCATAGCCTCACAATGCCACAAGTACTTTTCAAAGATGAACAAGTGGAAACTTTTCTTGCTTCAAAGCAAATTTCCATTGATTTGCATAATGATCATTGAACTTAGGCTTCACTGAAGTGCCTCCCAGTTTTATAATGTATGTAGTAAGTGCATTTTTTGTGGTTCCTTAGTTGGAGATATCCTGGACTTTTAGGTAATTTTTCTGTCCTTGAAAATTTATATAAGGATCCTGAACTGGGTCACTTACCTGGGAAATGAAGAATTTCCCCTGTAAATGTATTTCTCAGTGTCCAAGGTGATGGATTTAGGACTTTTGTTTACCTAGCTTTCCCTAATTCCTCTGAACTTTCAGCAAGGTGGTCTTCTTTCACAGCTGCTCTGTTCTCTCTGATCAACCATATATGTTTTCAGAGTGTGTGGACTGGGGGATGAGGACATGACAAACCTGAAGCCAAAGGTAGCAGGTTTTGGGCCATAATGTTGGAAAGAACAATTGCTTGTAAGCTCCCTGGTTTTAAAACACAAATAAGGTGAAACAAGTGCTGTTGCTCATGGCAGCACTGGACTTCAACTGTCTTACATAGATGGACCTTTGTAGCCCAGCAGAGTTTTGTCCTGTGGGAAACGGAACTCAACGTTAGCACGAAAAAGTTCATGAAATCTGTTACTTCATTTTGGGTGTTGTGCCTTCAAGCAAAAAGAGAGCAGAGATTAAAAATGCTGAGGTACATAAGAATCATCACACACACACTTCAGGAAGGACATGCTGTCTCTTATAGCTCTAGCTTAAAACAAGTTTAAAATACCTTTCATTAATGCTTTCAGGTCTTACTATTTGGTTCTACCGCCCAACCTCTTCATTTCCCTTTTTTATGGAAGCTCTTCTGATCCAAACTGATAATGAAGTGAAAAAGGACTAGAACAGGCTCCCTTTCCAAGCAGCTTTAGTCACAAGCTTGCCGTGGCAATTCATAACCCTTACAGAGCAGCTCCTTTCCCTTCCCAATCTCTGTTGGATCACTAGCATGTTCATTGCAAGAATGACGCAATTCCAAAGTCTTATCAAATACCAGAAAACTACAAATAGAAACACTGTACTTCACTATTAATAATTCACATAAAATTCACAGCATAAAAACATTAGTCTGTGTAACAGAAGAGCAGAACTGAGAGATTTCCCAACATTACTACCACTGTCCTAAGCTTGTTCTTCCTCCAGACTTTAGTATATTAAAAAAACAAAAAGGAAAGCATTAGCCAACTCATTTAATAAAACAACTGGGTAAATTAAAGAGATACATTCACATTTTAATTTTGAATTTGCTTACATTTGTCTACTGGCACCCCAGCCTTAGAAAGCATGTTATGTTACATAAAAAACCCTAATGTCAGCATCTTCTCCCTCAAAAATGTACCATTCTCTGTATTTGGGACAATATCTAGAGGCTTTATTTTGTCCTGTCATTAAGATTTTTCAGGCAGACTTCCTAAGTGAAAAGAATTAGGAAAACCTGTAAATTCTGGTTTGGTGGTGTGGGGTTGTTTTTGTTGTTTTTCTTAAAATTATCTAGCGCGTATTTGGTCAGTTACCCCTTGCTGCAGAGGTATCAGTGAGCACTTGCTGTCGTTAACCTAAAGAACTCCCTATTTTTTTTTCCACAGAACCACGCTATACTTATAGGACCCAAAAGTTAGACAAAACCCCTACCTTATTATTTTTGTTTAATGCAGAAAGAATTTAGTTTCCCTTCCCACCTCCCAGGCTACTTTTCCAAGTAGACCTGTGCTTTAAACTGCACCCATTTTGCTCAACTCAGTCCATTAAAAGTAGACGGGGTTAAAAGACGTTTTAACTTTTAATAGAATTGGGGTTGAAAACAATTATGAAGCCAGTACTTGTGGCTGAAGTTTTGGCACTCTCTGCAATATAGCAGAAATACTCTAAAGCAGTTTACTACCTCGTAACTGAAACACACCCACTCACAGTATTTAAGCAAACTGGTTACAACCAGGATTAAAATAGGTTCGCTCTTGGAATTTCTGTCTCAGCAGTCATCAGAGAGGTTTTTCAATGTAACAGCTTTCATCAGCAGAGGTTCAGAAATCCCTTTTGTAGCTTATTTTCGTTTGCAAAGACACTTCAAAGGTTGTCATAGAACAAAGACTTTTTCCCAATGGATGGATTTTCAGGAATACCAAGCTGAGGAAGAAGGGTACAGTTTTGGGACTGGACTGCAAACAGATGTTTGCTTGTAAATAATTTGATTTCTATACAAACTCAACATGTATTTTAAGGATGATGACCTGTTCTTGTGTGAGATTTCCTCTGATGGTAATCTATGGCCCATATCCTGTTTCTTACAGTCAGCAGGAATTTTATCATCTTCTTCCATGGAAGAGGTCTTTTGAGTGCCAGCATTGTTAGAAATACACATAGCATACTAGATACAGGTGGGTAAAGAAGAGAACTTACTCTCTTCCAGAATAAGTTACTAATTTTATAACTTAAAACAACTTTATCAATCCTAGACATTTGTATAGCACCAACCACCAACAGTATTATCACTAAGGCACTGGACTGGTACTCGGCTGTCATGTGTCTACCTCCAAATCTGTGGTCAGTTTCCCATGTAATCACATTTATATCTTTTGTTTTTCCTGGTACATGATTTTTGACATTGCAAACTAGGATATAAAGACAAAACATTCCACATCATTTACAGGAATATCGCGCCATGACTAATTACAAGGTGCTCAGATTCTAAAGTGATGAACATTAATATTTCTGTGCATAGATTTACTGCTGTAAGAAAATTATCCTGCAGGTATCAATTATGTGCAACACACTGGACCAGAATGAGCTTCAGTTCGTCTGGAGTTACTGACATACTCCAAGTTAAATCCTATCCTTGATGCCACAATTCAAAATAGTTTTTATAGATAAATGAAGATAAGCCCTCAGGGCTCTTGTCTCTGACACCTGACCCAGCATGCTTTCATATGCTTTAGCATCAAAGTCTGCTCCAGCCAACTTAACAGAGCTCCAGCTTCAGCCTCTATGAGAGCAGGTTTTGATGCTTTCAGAGGCAGCTGAATCTTTTTTTTAGTCTGTAGTGGCTTTACTTCTCCACATGATTAAAAACCCACAACCCTTCAGGAGCTATCACTGTTCCGCTGTACCACACTGGCTGCCGAGTATGTTTACTAATGTAAAAACTGCTACAAGTTCTTGGGTTGAAATAAGTTACTGCAAATGCACAGTAGCTGATTTTTAAACCACAACATCTCTACAATTTATTATTATTTTTACAAAATACCCAAAGTGATCAGACCATATTGTAGGTTACTGGCTTGTCAAAGGTTATGTTTTAAAATCAAAACCATTTCTGACTTACAGAAGTGCCAAAAACAATCTTGAACCAGGTTTGTTTGTTGGTTTTGTTGTTAAGTTTTTGTTTTGCTTTTTTAAACCAACCCCCATCCAACAAAACAGTTGTATAACTTAAAACAGAAACAAGAGTTTGTGTTGGAAACGGTTTAAAAACCAACCCACCAAATTCATGCTTGAGCAGAAGCCTTGTACGGCAAAGATTTAGCTTGGGGCAATTTAGTGCCAAGATATAGACCCTCTATGGGTTTACAATGGAAATACTGACACAACCTCAACTATAGTGATGCAAATGTGCCCTAAAACACTGTATTTGCTTTTATTAATAAAAGTGGTAGTGTTTACATTTGCAGGTATCTTACACTTCAGCATCACGATGAATACTGAGTAGAATGAGTTAAGTTTTGGCTGTAAGGTCAGAAGTTTCCAAACAGATGAATGAGACAGATGTGAAAGTCCTCAATCATGAAAACAAGAAGTTCAAATAAATAAATAAAACAAAACTAGGAAATATGGGTAAGCATTAGGTTGGAATGGTTCAATTAACTGCAAATTATGGCCACTAAATTATAGACAGAAGAAAACACAGTTACTTATTAAATAGCAAGCATTAAAGCTTTATGGTTTTGTATTAAAAAAAAAAAAAG